GTTCTTTCCTGCATGTGATAAACTGTCCTCAAACTGTTGCTTCCTTTTAAGATCGGGCGGGGGGGGGGAATCCTTTGAATGGAATGTGGTGTCCTAAAGCAGGTGCAGGAAACCTGTGGCGCTCCAAATGTTGGATTACAACACCCATCATCCCTGACCTTTGGCCATGCTGGCTTCAGGGACAGATGGGAGTTGGAGTCCAGCAACGTCTGAAAGATCTTAGGTTTCCATCCCTGTCCTTGAGAGTGCTTTCCTTGAGGTGAGTTGGTCCTTGCTTCAGCCAGTGGATGGCTGAGCCCCAGTGTATCCTATTTCCATGGCCTGTGTGTGCATGCAAATGCTTACCATCTGTCACCTTTTCTGTGTCTAGCTGGCCGATGCCCTGCTGGAGAAAGAAGTCATCAACTACGATGACATAGAAGCCTTGATTGGGCCTCCTCCACATGGGCCCAAGAAAATGATTAGCCCTCAGAGCTGGATTGAGGCCGAGAGGGACAAACAAGATACGGGAGATGAAGAGGCACCTCAGTCACCCCAGAGCCGAGAGGAGGAGGAAGAGTTTGACCAGAGACCAGTTTGAAAATGGCCAAGTGAGAGAAGGGACTGAGCAGCTTCCTTTCTGAACTAGAGGCGCAAAGAGAGTTATTTCATGCCTGTGTGTAGGCTGCTCTGCTCATATTTTGTGATGGGCTGTGAGCAGGGTCCAGCTTCCCCTGCTCTAAAAATGATCAAGCTGTGGTTGATGTATGTGTATGGGCTCATCAAGGCTCATTGGGAAGGGTCCCAGTGCCTCTGGGTCACCAGGTTACAGTTATGGGAATGTGTGTGGTCAGTCTGGGCAGAACCAGCCATTGTGTCCCAGTCCTCCCACAAAAGCAGCTGCTGTGCTCTGCTTCGTCTTCTTCTTTTTTCTGGTGCCACACACTGCAACCCTCCTTTGACATGACAGCAATAGCTGCATCACTAGCATCCGGAGTTTAATGCTTCTCCCCAGAACCAACAACACAAATATTTCCCTGATTTTTACACATTTCTCTTGAGGTGTAGAAAGTCTGATATGGACAATGGAGATGTAGATTTCCTTTGACCTATGTCACCATGATATAGGTCCTTTGACCTATGTAACTCTGGCCACAAAGATAGGGGCAGGCACAACCTCTGAATGCTGGTGGGGCTCCCTGGAGTGACTTGGAAGGGAGAGATAATTCTCAAGCCTTTCAGAAAGTACTCTGGCTGGCTGGTAGCTTGTGGTTCTTACACACAGGCCTTTAGACTGAATGTGTCTCTAAAGCAGCTTGTAACAGGAGTTGGGTGGGGGGAGGGATAGACAGTTTCCTGCTGTACAATAACAGCTGAAGGGAGGTGGAGTGGAGAGAGAAAAGGGCTAGCTGCATTTTCAAACACACTCCATAGATTATTTCCATGAGGACTATTGTCTGTATCCTTATACAACCCTTGTCCAGATTTTCCTCCACTCCTGCCAATATTTAATTGGCAGTTCTCAAAACTGCCTCTTTTCTGAGACTACCCTCTTGCATAGATGGGATGAGCGTGCACACATTTGCACTCTGAATTGCCTCAACGTGAAGAGAGTTTGCTATTTAGAACTGCAGCTATCAAAATCCCTGGAGATATGATCCTCCTGAATATGTATTTCAACATGTGATATTGCACTACGACATAAAAGAAAACCAAGCATTTCAGCACTGGTCTGTAAACAGTCCCTTTCTCCATCTCCCCCAGTGGGCCTTGAAAGAAAAGTCATTGGTGATCTGTGTGTACCACCTAGTGGTCTATTGACAAATTTGTACCAAATTGCTGTATATCTGTGACAATATCTGTGGGGCAATATGCCAAGTTTCTGAATCACAGTGGCAGTAATTTAGCCCATTTCCCTCCAAGAGGGAGCCAGACTCGTCAGACTCACTGGTAGTAGCTAAGCTTTAGCACAAGGGTGGTTAATGCTTTGGCTCATGCAATTGCAGAGATGAAAGGGATCCCAAGGGCCATCTAGTCCAGCCCCCTGCAATGCAGGAATGTTAGCTAAATCATACATGACAGATGGCCATCTCGCATCTGCTTAAAAACCTCCATCTATAGTGGCATCATATTGAAAGAAATTCTGGAGCAAGAAAGTCATGTTAAATTTAATTGTGCTGGGTCTTGGCATCTGAAATGGCTGGTATGTCTTTCCAGGTGGGTATTTCTCAAGAAAATGAAATTTGAAAATTGTTCAATTGAAGAAGTTGTCACTGGGGGAGGGATGGTGAGAGAGCCACAAGTGTTCCCCACCTTGATTTTTCCACTTTTCTTATCTTTCCAAGAGTTCCTGCTCAATGTATTTATAAACCATGACCTAGCACAAACTGCAATAAATCTCTATCATCTCAGCTGCTTGTACCTTTGCCATCTATTAAAAAATGAAATAAACTTTTACAGAACTCAAATACCACTCACTTGTCATTTATCGTCATTTTCAATGGGTATGAGTCATCATTTAAACTGTTCTATTACTGCAAATACAATCTATGGCATTAATACGTGCCATTTTCAGTATATGCAACTCACTGTAGTCTGTTCAATGAAGTGCAGTGTGTTCTCTTACTTAAAATGCCGCTAGTGGGGAGTCTCCTATACCTGATGCGATAAAAAATTCTCATTGGCCAAGCTATGCCAGTGCTCAATAGTGCCTGGCTGTTGGGGAGCAGGATGCTGAAATATCTTTATCAGATCCTACAGAGCTTTTCTTAAGTGTGTCACAGTGTTATTCGGGCTACAGTGTTATGCATGCACTATTGCTTGTAAGCCCTTTTAAGCTCAGTAAGACTTTAGATATGTGTGCATCAGTTCAGGCTACTGTAGGCTCAGGTTACTGTAGATGCTATCCGTGACATTAATATGTGCCATTTTCAACATGTACAATTCACTGCAGTCTGTTCCTTTTAGTGGCAATAGGGGAGAATCTCCTAGATTTGGCCCAACAGAGAATCTTATTGGCCACAGTTAAGGCAGTGCTCATAGTGCCTGGCCACTGGGGAGCAAGGTATTGAACTCTGATTTATCAGATCCCGCAGAACTTTTATTAAGTTTGTCACAATGCAATTGGGGTTACAATTCTAAGGACATTAGAACAGCTTGCTGGATTTTGTCCAGAATTCTGTATTCTGAGTGGCTAACCAGATGCGAATGGAACACCAGTAAGCAGGACTTGCGCACTATAAAAGTGGGATGTTGGGTTTCCTGTGTAACGAGCACATTTCTTCAGAAATAGAAGGGGACTTGCAAAGCCTGCAGTTCTCTTCACTACTTTCATGGCTGGTCTCAGAGAAAACCTTGCCAGTTTCAGACAACCCTGAAAGGCAAACAGGCATACTGAGGGAGATGGCAGCCAACTGAAAGCATCATCCAGCCACCTCCACTGGCTTCTGCCTGGCAACTTCGTCCCTCACTTCAGCCTGCCAGCTTTCACTGGCTTCCACCCATGAATATCCCACTGGTTCATGTATTCACCCTGTGCCAGGTGGGCGGCTTCCAGAACCCCCTGAATGCACCCAGACACACACCATTCACCTCAACTAGTTTACATCCACAAACATCAGCCTGCTCCAGCCTTTCAGCATCCACTGGCTTCTGAACGCATACGTCACCAGCTTCCACCCAGCAAACCTGCCAACTTCCACCAGGTCCATCACCAGACATCAGTCAGCTGCTGCTTTCTGTCTGCCACTTCGCCTCCATGTGGAAGGAGGTATCCCAGTGCTGAATGATACAGTTGTTGTCTACCATGTTCTCTTCAGGAAGGTTTATGCCTTGGTTCTCCCCTTGGCCCACCTTTATATCCAGTCAGTGGCTATGTGCTTTTGGGACATGGGTGGTGCTGTGATCTAAACCACTGAGCCTCTTGGGCTTCCAGTCACATAGTCGGAGGTTCAAATCCAAGCAACGGGGTGAGCTCCCGTTGCTCTGTCCCAGCTCCTGCCAACCTAGCAGTTCGAAAGCTAGCCATGGCCAGTAGATAGACAGGTACTGCTGTGGTGGGAAGGTAAATGGCATTTTCGTGTGCTCTGGCACTCATCATGATCCTCCACCCACCAGCAGCTGTTTAGTCATGCTGGTCACACGACCTGGAAAGCTGTCTGTGGACAAACGTCAGCTCCCTTGGCCTGAAAAGTGAGATGAGCACCGCAACTCCATAGTCGCCTTTGACTGGACTTAACCATCCAGGGCTCCTTTACCTTCTTCTACCTTTGCTTTTGCGGGAGGTGAGTTCTTGTGCTTTTGAGCCAACCCAGGCAGTAGCTGGTGAGGCATCATCATCACCTCCCCACCCCTCACAATGGTGAGTGCAGTTTCAGCAGTAGTTTGTTCCTTTGCATTACCTATGCCCTCGTGCTGATACCAAGGAAAGACACATTATAAACCTGTGGGGAGAGGGGCATTTTTCAGCCCCATGGCTGCATTTTCCTCTGGCCAACCTTTAGGGACTACATCCCGATGGTGGGTGGGGTCAAATACCAAACGGAAAGGAACAGTAAATGAGACTCTTTGAATAGGAGACTCCCTTCCCACGCCCCTCCATCCATTACGAGCCGGCAGAATTGAACGGCCGCGGTACCTTTAAGATGGGCGCCATCTTTGTTACTGGCAAGACAATGTGTTGGACATAGCGGCTGACGCCAGTGAGGGTAATTCTCTCTCCCTGATTGGCCGCGGACGGAGCGTTTCGCGTTTCCTGAACCGGGTCACGCACGGCGGCTCAGATATCCCAGAGTTCCTGGCGAGAGTTCTTTCTTTTTCCGGCCGGCCATTTTCTCTCCCGGGAGGTGAGTTCTCGTGCTGGGGGAGGCCTGGTTGGCTATCCGCCTTCATCCGTCGCCTGCTCGGGGATGGGGGACTCCGGGGGCGGACTCCGGGGTTCTAGAGGGTCTTGTGGACGTTACGGAAAGGTTATGGGGTCCCGGTGGGGAGACTGATGGGCTCTTGCCTGGTTGTTAGAGGCGATCCTTTGCGCTCCATGGAGCTTCTGGATCAGCCTCGTTATTTAGAAAGGCCCAGCCAGAGCTCAGAAGTGGAGCACACAGGCTTTGCACGCAGGCGGGCCCAAGCCCAGCCTCTGGCGCCTCAGTTAGGACGGCTAGCGGCCTTCGAGGGGCTGGTGTCACCAGAGCATCCAGTGGTGGGTAAGTGAAGCCAGCGTCCCGGGGGCACCCGTAGCTCATTCATATATCGTGGTACCAGGTTCTGTCTCTGGCCAAGAGTTATTGCACCAATCAATAGGATTTGTAGCCCTGTTAGTCAAGCTACAGCTACAGTATTTCGGAGTGATATTGGCTAGTGAAGAACGACCTATTACAACTCATTAACTGTAGTAGTTTTGGCTAAAATGCAATGTCCTGAAGAAGTGCAGGGCATTTGTTTTGCTGGGTGCTTTCGTGTTCATTGAGGATTTTATTATTGACTCTGCAAAAATGGTTTCCCCTTTATGGGATTTAGTCAAGTGTAGCTCCCTCGGCCTGTAAAGCGAGATGAGCGCCGCAACCCCAGAGTCGTCTGCGACTGGACCTAACTGTCAGGGGTCCTTTACCTTTACCATTGTATCCCTGAATGCTAATGAGCTTTTGAACGTTTTAAACAAGCAGTTTTAAAGCCACCAGCTTTTTCTTATTCATAGTGAAATAAACCATTATTCTTAAGCTTAACAGGGTTTGAGTCAGCATGAGGTAGGTTGCTGTGTGGGGATGGAGTCTAGTTTAGTGGGTGTAACACAGACCTTGCCTGCAGAAGGCCACAGGTTTAAGCTGTTGGATAGCAGGACGAGGAAGACTTTGAAGCCAGCCAGATCAGTCAGTACAGTATTGGGCTCAGTGGAGCAATGTGCAGAATCTGAATGAAGGCAGCCTTGTAAGTTTGGCTGATATGACCCCATATTTTACCATTCTGATAGGGCATTAGCAAGAGGCTCCAAGTTAGATCTTTAGTATCATTAAAAAAAATGAAGTCTGTGTATCCTTCATACAATGTGACAAGTCAGTCACATTCAGAATGAGACATTACTTTGAATAGGAAGTATGGGGTTGAGAGATAAGACAAGAGTGAGGGGAGGGGGGGGAGATATTTAGTATCTTGAATGCCTTGCTAGGGAAGACTCGGTTTTAGTCTGAACTAATAGCCTGATCCTATGTATTTCATATGTAAGGGAGGGCCCCATAGTTCAGCAGGAGTATATGTAGAAGGTTCATTCTCTGGGATCTCCTGTTGAAGGGTTTTGAACCTGGAAGGGCTGCTGCCAATCACTGTAGCCAGGACCAGCCAAAAAGAAGCAAGTAGGTAGCTCCTTATATTATTGTAAGGTCTCTTGCAGAAGAGATGCTGCAGAGTTGCATGTTTGATACTGTTAAACAGAGTGTGGGATATTTGATGAATGGATCAAAGTTCTTCCTAATAAAAGTAAAAGGTTTCCTGCATCATAACTGCATTCTGCCTGCAAGTTTCCAACCTTTGGCACAATTAGGAATCCAAATGCTAGGTTTCCATTGGGCTTAGAAGGGCATGACATTATGTGTCTCCAGTATACTTCACAGAACTGTTGCAAGGATAAATAATATTTTGTATGCTGAAAAGAGATGTTAAAATGGAAATCATAAGGAGTCTAATCCATACTGTTTGTATTTTCAGGGACATAAGGAGCCATGGCGCCCAGCCGGAATGGCATGATCTTGAATCCCCATTTTCACAAAGACTGGCAAAGACGAGTGGCCACATGGTTTAATCAGCCTGCTAGGAAGATCCGCAGGTGAGGTCTGCAGAGCCCCTTGCATTTTGTGTTCTTTGTATCCGGTGCTCGGCTAACATACAGCTGTCTGGATAATGCAAAAGGCAAGCAAGTGTGAGCCTTGCCATTTTTGGCTTTCTGCAAGACACTTGTTCAGTTCTTCAGCCAGATGATGAAAATTCTCCGGAATCGCTGTACCACATTGATGACCCTTTGAACCCATATAAGCTGATGGCTGTAGCTTTTTTTATTTCTATCTACTCAGTTAAAGGATTGAAAACGGAACTGTCTTAATGCCTTTATATAAATCTCTGGTGTTACTGCAGTTTAAATACTGTCTGTAGTTCTGGTTTCCACATCTCAAAAATGATATTGTTCAGCTGGAAAAGGTGCAGAGAAGGGCAACCAAAATGATTAAGGGGTTGGAGCAACTCCTATAAGGAAAAATTAGATTTGCAACTTGTAGTTTGTGGTGGGAGCGAAGGTGAGTAAGGAGGGACATAAGAGGCATAAAATTATGCATGATTTGGAAAAAAGAAGTCATGTTTTTTTCTCACATAATACTAGAATTCCAGGTCTTCCAGTAAAGCATACAAAAGGAGCATAGCTTCACACATCACATTGCTCAAACTATGGAATTTATTTGCACAAGAGTAGTGCTAGGATTTGATGAATTCATGGAAGATAAGGCTATCAGTGGCTCCTAGTGATGGCTAGTTCTGCCTCCAGAGGCAGTATGCTTCTGAATAACAGCTGCCAGGAATTACATGAAGCAGTTGCACTGGGGACCTGCTTGCAGGCTTCTTTTAGGTGTCTGATTGGCCAGGTTGCTGGACTAAGTGGGTCTTTGGTCTGATCCAGCAGGACTTCCTTTGTTCTTATGCTTGCCTTATGCCTCCTTCCCTTGCAACCAATCCCAAGTTTATCTGTAAGGGGAGCTCAGTAAGGGTTATATTTGGAGAGAGAACAGGTTTAACATAGCCCTTTTGTACTTCTTTCTGCACCCAGGAGGAAGACCCGTCAGGCGAAGGCCCGTCGTATTGCTCCACGTCCGGTATCTGGACCAATCAGGCCAATTGTGAGGTGCCCCACTGTACGTTACCACACAAAAGTCCGTGCTGGTAGAGGATTCAGCTTGGAGGAGCTGAGAGTAAGTAAAAAAGCATAGGTGTCTCTTAACACATGAGTGCCTGCCTCTGAAATACAGGTTGTTTTGGCTTGTGGCATATGATATGTCAGCTAAGATATATAGGAATCTGATGTGTTTTGTACAGTGGTTGGTGGGGCTTCCATATAACCAAAAAACTTCATTGAATCAGATTTCTTGGAGGATTAGTTTTTGTATTTATAGTGGAAGTTCTTGAATTAAACAGATGGAGAGTTTTATAGCGATAGTATAGCTAATCCCTGTTCCTTCAGAGTGGGTTATACGAGGATCTTTAGGCAGTTAAAAATTAAAACCCACACCCTTCTGTTGTCTGTTTCTAATTGCTTAAAGGACAAGAGTTTAGCCTTACATATTTTTATTCGGTATTTTGGTGGAGATTTCTTTTTAGGTACTGGAGAAAAATTGTTTGGCCAGGTACATTAGCATCCTACCAGAAGGTCTCTCTTTGTTGCCCTTGCAAGCCACTTGCCATTTCTTTGAGAGCCTTTCAATCAGATGATGGCTCTGTCCCTGGAATCTCAGTACTGTGATTACTTACGTTTTGAAGCTTTCATTCTCTTTGTAAAAAAAATAATTATTAAAGAGTTTCAAAACAAATATTTTGTTAATACATTAACAGAAAAACAAAGAAAACATAGGGCAACAACAATTTTTGAAAACATTGCTATACTATTATATAAAGTATCAATATTGTTAAGTAGACAAGTAAGAAGTTTTCCAGCTGACGACTGTTCTGCCGCCATAGCAGGTACAGGGCTGGCAATGTACAAGTTGCTTTTACTTGTGGCTTAGGTTAATATGCTTTCCCTAGATGGCTGGCATCAACAAGAAGTTTGCCCAGACAATTGGTATCTCAGTGGACCCCAGGCGCCGGAACAGGTCAACAGAAGCCCTGCAAGCAAATGTGCAGCGGCTGAAGGAATACCGCTCTAAGATCATTCTCTTTCCCCGGAAACCTTCTGCCCCTAAGAAGGGCGACAGTGCAGTAAGTATATAGGGGAGAATTTCAGGGGAAGTAGGTGTTGCAGGAGAAGGGAGTTTTATTTCTAATAAGTCTGGTGGGGCGAAAGCTGTGCTGCAAAGCACACTATAAAGCTCCCAAGGACACAACTTCCAAGGAGTACTTGATTATGACTGGGGCACAAAAAAGCTTGCATCCAGTATAAGAGGCAGAAACACTACCTGCTTTCCATTGCTGGTGGTCACATGCTACTTCAGCCACAACATCACAAGTTTGTTCCAGTACAGCCACCCAAAGACAAGGCCACCCCCATCCCCTCACCACCAAGGAAATGTGACAAGCAAATAGATAGATAACCCCGACAAGTGATGCTGACACAAAACCACGAAGTAGAAGTATTACCACCTCCCCCTCCCCCTCTTTTCTTCCCAACCCCATACTGCATGCAACACTAATGTCTCACAACAAATGAAACTGATCTGTAGAAAACGTAACTTGAAAAAAGAGAGGATGCACGTATATTTGTAAACTAAGAAATCTTTAATAAAAATTATTTTTTTAAAAAAATTGTTCCAGGGCCCTCTTCCTTAGTTGCTATGATTCTCAAAGTGTGTACATACGTCTTTAAAGACCTTGCAGTTACCTGTATTGGGGAGAGAGCAGAAGTGTTGAGGAAAAGTGAGATGACAGCAATATAAGGCTAAACTGGGAATTTTGGTGTTCTTCGTCTTCAACTCTGCCTAACCTTGCCCCTACAGTAAGATTTTTAGAGGCTCCCTCAGCACTTGTATGACATAATCCAAGCTAGGGTTTTTTTTTCTTGCTGTCCAAAAAAGGGAGGTGGAATAAATAGTTCCTGAACATATTTCTTCTCTCCACAGGCTGAAGAGCTCAAGATGGCCACACAGCTCTCTGGACCAGTTATGCCCATCAAAAATGTAAGTGACTTCCATAGATCTTTCCTCTGAAATTTATAGACTTTATAATGGGAAATTTCCTGCTTCCAACTTCAGTGAAATGGTCTCTTGAGAGCGGCTGTGTTTCCTGGGTGTCAAATGATGTTCTGTGACTTAACAAAAAGGAGCAGCTTCAATGTTGAGTTGGCTACTTCTCATTCACTCAAGCATAGTTATGTCCTTGGAATCTTGCAAAACACAAGTTTGCAATCAATATTGAAGGTTGTTGGTTGGTTTTTCGAGTAAGTTGCACATGAAATCCGAACAAGTGAATGGTGGTAGTTGCGATGCTACTGAATTTCTAACAGAAATGGAATATTAAGCAGTCAAGTAGGTGGTTAGCCTTGTGGAGTCCTGCTGGGGATGGTTCTCTTCTAAAGGACTTACTTCTCACAGTGCCTCTGGGAAGCCCAGCAGTAGCAGGGCTTAAAGAAAACAGCCCTGTCTGCTCTTGCTTGTCCTCCAGCAAGAGGTACTCAGTGCTGTATTTCTGGATATGGGCGTTCAATTTATTTATTTTTGTTTTGTTTTATTTTATTGAAATAAGGTGACTGCCCTGGAAATCCAGTATATTGAGGGGCAGTATGTAAATGTAAAATAAACTAGTATAAAACTACAGCTAGAAGCCACTGACTGTCTCCTACCACATGAATTTGTCTCATCTCCTTTGAAAGCCACCTGATCCAGTGACTATTGTCACAACCTTGTGGCAGTGGGTTCTACAAGTTAATTAGTCATTGAGTAGAAAAGGACCTCTTGTCTATCTTGAACCTACAGCCAGCCAGTTTAATTGGGTAACCCATGAGCTCTAGAATTATGAAAGAGGGAAGCAAGCTACTGTGCTTCTCCCCACCCCCTGAAAAGTCCCAAATATTTTAGTCTTCCCACATAATAGAAGATGGGTCATTTTGGTTGCCTTTCCTGACTCTTACGTCCTTTTTGAGACTGACTGGCCATAACTGTTCCTCTTATTCCAAAAGTGGATATCCTCTATGTTTATATTCAAGGCCTTATGCTGCTGACCATCTTCATTTTCGGTCCCTCTAATTGATCACTAGATTCTGCTAGTGATGCAGAAAATATTTTCTGCCTCATTTTGGCAGTGAATTTTTCCTGTGCCTGGACTAGCCATGAGCGTTCCAACTCCACTGTCAGTATGTCTCTGAACTCCAGTTGCTCAGAATCACAAGTGAGAGAGGGTGCTGTTATGCTTAGGTTCTCCTTGTAGGCTTCACATTAGGGCATCCAGTTGGCCGCTGTGAGAACAAGATGCATGACTAAATGGGACATTGGCCTGATCCAGCAGGCTCTTCTGGTGTTCTGAGTGCTGCTACAGAAAGGGGCTGTCTGCATACATATTACATATATTGAGCACATTTTGTCGCGAAAAGAATTCTGGGCACTGCAGTTTGTTGAGGGTTGCTAGGAATTGTAACTCTGGGGGATAAATTACACTGCCCAGAATTCTTTGAAGGAATGAATGTGATTTGGGTGTGCTTTAAAGGTAAACTGTATATACAGCCTGTGACTTAAAAGTGTTAGAATTAGCCATAGTGTGGGTGAATATTGAATCAGAAATTGGAAGAAAGCAGCAGCTTTTTGGTGTGTGCCCTGATTGTCTGGTTCTTTCCTTAGGTCTACAAAAAAGAGAAAGCCCGAGTTATATCAGAGGAAGAGAAGAATTTCAAGGCTTTTGCCAGCCTGCGCATGGCCCGGGCAAATGCTCGGCTCTTTGGCATCCGGGCTAAGCGAGCCAAGGAAGCAGCAGAGCAGGATGTGGAAAAGAAGAAATAAACTCTTTGTACGGAGCACCTCAATAAAGGATAGATTTGGAACTATGTGGTGCTTGTCTTAGAGATGTGGGGAAGAGCAACATGGGCTGGGAATCCTGGCACTTGAGCATAGCCCCTTTGCCATCTCCATCTCATTCCCACTCATTTTTTGTTGGCGCTCCAGTAGTTTGGCAAGGAGGCTGGTACCTCTTGGGTTTTCAGTATTGAAGCAGCCTGGGGAATGGAAGGCAGTGCTAGTTGGATCCCATTTTATATTTTTAACCCCCTGGTTGGGGGATGAAAGGGGCGACCTACCATTCTTTGCTCACTTAGGTTCCCTTTTGGCAGATACAGAGCTGGGTAATTTGGGTATTTAGTAGAACAGAAGGTGATAAATGCAAGTTTCTCATATATGTATGGGGAAGAACCATAGCTCAGTGGTAGAGCATCAGGTTTTGGATGCAGAGGGTTCCAGGTCAAGCCTCTGTAGGGCTGGGAATGTTGCCCATCTGAAACTCCATGGAGCTGCTGCCTGTCAGTGCAGACATTACCAAGCTAGATGAACCAATGCTCTGACTTGGTACAAGATGGCTTCTTAAATTTTTTTACACTGAATCTTGCAAGGGATTCACCGGAGATACCTGATTCTTACCACAGTGCCATTTTGGTGTCAACTACTTACTGGATTAATGTAGACCAGGCGTGGTGTTTTCTGAGAGCAAAAGTAAAGACCAAACAAGCCACCAGAGAATCCAATGCAGTTATTTTCCAGGAATACATTTTCCAGGAATGTACTCTTTACTGTCCGGATGAGCTGCCTTTTCACCTCCGCTGCATCCCATTGAGGAAATGAATGAGAAGTACTTAGTCGATTAATAGAAGCTGGGCTTGGTTGATCACTCAGCTCTGCTGGAAAAATTGAGTGTGTGTTTAATGTGAAGTGCAGAGGATCCTATTTACAATAACTAGAGGGTATCTATGGGAGTGGATGGGAACCACAAGTCTGGTTTAGTTTTACTAGCCAAGCCATAAATTTAGCGTCACCACTAATCTACCCATCCCCATAGGTCATCTGGAGATGAGATTAATTCTCTTGACATGCTACAGATCTGGAGCAGGTAAAGTTAAAATCCCCCCTCATGCTTCAGCAGTCCATTCTGAAATTTTGTGGACGCGGAGCAGGTAGGTGTCACATGTTGCTCTGAAGAAGGGCTGACTTGGGAATGAGGTATAGGTGTATGCGCACATTAGTTGGCATCCTCCTGTCTCTAGAGACGATGGAGTGTGCCTTCGGGGGTGAAGTCAAACCACTGTGTTGGCACTGAAGTGACCCCTGGGGCACAAGCCTGGACAGTGTGTATGGAGGTCCTGGGCTGCCCAGATGACAAGATCCAGCAATATACCTGACACCAGCTTGGCAGCAGGAGTTGCTGGAAGGAGGTATACAAGATGCCATCCAACTGTCTTGACTCCATTTCAGATTTTTGTAGGGTTTGCTCCTTAGCCTTTCCCCCCTGAAGATAACTCCACAAAGCAGCAGAGGTTTAGGACCAGAGTTTTCCTTCTTGATGAGCTACCTTCACAGGTTGACATGCCCCATCTGCCCCTCACTTCCCGTACAGCGTGCGCAGAAACCACCTTCTTGACTGTTGGATCCACTATTAGTTTTGTTTCACTCAATCCACCGGAGCCTGTCTGCATGCAGAGAAAGTCCCTAACTTTCTGAGGGTTTGAGACCCATCAACTGCCCTCACCTGGTTTAGCTGGCCGGTTGAAACTGGCAGCTGCTATAGGTGAGAGCTGAGTACATGGTGGGGACCGAAGGTGGACAAACTACCCCAGAAGGAGCACAATGTGTCACCTACCAGAGGTTCTGCCCCTCCCTTAATGCTCCATACACTCCATGTGTGCATTGCTCCAATAGTATATTTGGGAGGACACAATTGCATCTCTTGTTTGGCTCAGGGAGATTTCACAGCTTGGAGTGGTGCTTTTTGTTCTGCAGTGGGAGCTTGCACATGAAGTCTCTGTACTGTTTGAAATCCTGCCAAACTTTAAGTGTGGTTTCGTTCAACCTCTTCATACTAGGCTTGCATGTGAGGATGGAAGCTGAGGAAATCTAATTTTAACTAATTTCTAAGTACAGGTTCAGTCCTCTGTGTCTCCACATATGATCATGTACCGGGTGCTGGGGGTAAACTGCTTGACAGTCCAGGACAGCCATTGCAAATCTTCTTGCAACTGAGAAAATGGGTTCTGGCCCATGAATGCTTGTGCCAAAATAACTGATTTCATATGTAGCTATCACGTTTCTTGTTTTGACCACTGTGAGAGAATTCATTTTTAACTAACAAGTTTAATAAATCTGCCTCTCAAAGCCCATGCCAATGCCCTGGAGGTTCTTCTTTTTTGAAGAGGGAGGGGTGCACATCTGGAACATCTCCATCCCTTGCCTGAGTTGTTAACTAACCCAAAGGAGAAATCCTCTCCACGGCATTTTTTTCAAAGAGAGACATGCAGGTACATGTTGGTTCCACTTGGTGGCAGTAAGCCCTCAATTTAGCAGTAAGTTTAACACAAGTTGTGTTTCCAGGATTTCCTCTTTACAACCTATAACCCACGTGGTGACTGCTGTCTTGAGGAGCTGACCTTTGTGATTAGATTTGATCTCTCCTTTGGTACCTTTCCCTCACACCCTGCCTCTTTAGTTTCTCAGCTCAGCTTCGGAAGGGTAATTAATGACCAGGGCCATCCAACTCAAGATGCCACAAGGTGGCAGTGCAGAAACTAGACTTTGTTTAGGTATCACTTTCTCCAGTGCTTCACAAGGTGAGTTGTTGCAGTTGCTGAAATTCTTCTTTCTTTGCAATACCTACTGAGAGAGCGAGAAATAGAATCAGAGTTGAAAGGGACCATGAGGGTCATCTAGTGCAGTGTTTCCCAACCTTGTGCCTCCAGCTGTTTTTGAACTACAACTCCCATCATCCCTGACTAGCAAGACCAGTGGCAAGGGATGATGGGAATTGTAGTCCAAAAACAGCTGGAGGCCCAAGGTTGGGAAACACTGATCTAGTGCACTGTCTGCAATGCAAGAATCTTTTGCCCAACATGGGGTTCAAACCCATGACCCCAGGATTAAGAATCTCATACTCTTATGTCTCCATGGCGACTCTTGGCTCGTTGCTTCTAACATGGAAATGCTGCTAGTGTGGATGGCAGTCTGAGAACTGGTGACTTCCTGATTCAGCCTTAAAACTCCTGGGAAAAACAAAGGGTTTGGGGAAAGCCCATAGCACAATGGCAGGACATCTGCATGACCTGCAGAAGATCCCAAGTTCAATGCCCAGCGAGATTGATCCATGGGTCTGACTCCATATCATGCAGCTTCCTGTGTTCCTGAGGCTAGGCCATGGGCCCCTCCAGCACATAGGGTAAGAGTTTCAATGAGTGAAAAGACCATTTTTGAAAGGCAGGGCTGCAGTAGATCAATCCATCTGAGCTGTTCCACAATAAAAGAGCAAGAGAAGGGCAGAAAAGATGAGACATTGGCACTAGCCAATCTGACGTTGGCATAAAGCCCTCCTCAGCCTGTGAATACCTCTGCATCTCTCTCTTCTCCTCCACCCTCACCCTGCTCTTTACATTTAATATCGTTTATTTGTTTTCATTTATTTTTAAAATTATAAACCCCCTTGGGTGCCTTGACAAAAATGCGGTAAAGAAATACAATTAATGCCCCTGCATGCTGCCGTGGCTGGATCCCTCCTCCATTCTAGAAGGAACTTAATTTCTGCGGAGACTAGGACATCAGAGCTCCTTGGACAATGAAGTTTAGCATGCCTTCTACTCTATCAAGCAAATTTCAAGGGAAACTCTGTGTTCCAGAGACTTCACCAGGAAGCAGCCAGCATTGCAAATTGTTCTCATTAGAGGCAGGAAATGCTGCCCGCTTTGCGTGTTCAGCCAGCGCAGCTTCTCTTTTGCTGGGCTCTGGTCCTAGGCAGACTCTTGGGCACCTGCCAGGGCTGGAAGCACAGATGGGAAGGGGCTACTCTGAGTAATGTTCCTGCTTTGCAGAAGCCGCTGCCTCCGAGTGCAGGCAGTGACTTCCGTCCTAGCGCGTGCGGCAACGAGCGCTGCCCTTTCCATGTTCATTGTGACGCATGGCCTCACACAAGACAAAATGTGGAAGGTGGAAGGGTGATGCTTTCTCTGCCAGTGGTCCAAGGTGCTTCTCAAATCATGGGATGATTTCAGCTTTCCTCTAGGTTCTATTTCCTGCTCCTCCCCTACCCGGTCCTCACCATACAGCTCTGCTTTTATCAATCTACAGTACTTGTTCCCCATGTTTGGTGCCCAGCAGCGAAAATGAGAAGGCAGCAGTCAGGTTCAGAGGGTCAGGTAAGGACATAAGAGGAACCCTTCCAGATCAAATCTCAGGCTTATCTAGTCCAGCATCCTGACCTCACACTGGCCTATCAGAAAACCCACAAGCTCTTCCCACTTGTTCTCCCAAGTAACTGCTAATGAGAAGCATACTGCCTCCTACACTTGAGATCAAACATAGCCATTGTGTCTAGTAGTCACTGATAGCCCTCTCCTCCATGAATCTGTTTTGTTTTTTAAAACAGGAGCTGAGATCGGCCCACTCCTATGGAGCTGTCAGGAGCAAACTGGGAAGGAAATTGACAGATGGAGATCCCCACCCTTTGGCCCTGCTGAGGATGCTCTTTCTTTTGGGCTGCCCTGCTATGAGCAGAATCTTCCCCAGAGCTGTCAATCATCTTGCAGGCACAGGGAAGCTGCTAACATGCGCTGTGAACTAGAAAGAGACCCTGGTAGAGGAACAGGAGTCATAGTGATCTCACCCAGCTTGATCAAACCCCGGGTGCTGGCAAGTTGTGAGGGAGACACGCTTGCCTGCTTGGCAGAGGCCTCATGGAGCTTGATGAGGGTACAGGGGGCAGCTGCTTTTGCCAGGGGGCTCCTAATCCTCGGGGCCTGCAGAAGGAAATATTGTTAAGCAGCCACAGTGTGAGTTTCCCAGCCTTTGGTATCAGTTGCTA